TTTTTTTATGGTGAAACACGTCATCAGTTGTAACTTAATAAACCATTTTTTCTGTTGGTTTGTTTTCAAATCAATATATTATATTTTCCTTTTTTGTTTAGTTTGTCGAGACACAAATTTAAACCGGAAATGATTTCATTAGTTTTAAATGAACACAAATAAACATGGCCCCGAGTTCACAAAGCATTCTCAGACTTAAGTCAAAAATTTATTCAACTTTCAATCACTGTTCAAGAGAAATATGTTTGATCCAGAAACACAAAACTTTGCACATATAGTTTCTTATTTATGTATTTGATACATTAAAACAACAAAAGTTTTATAAAGGGCTTTATTTTAGTTAAAATAAGACAAACAATTTTGAGTAAATTCTTGACTTAAAGATACATTCCCGCGTACAAACTGGGTGATTTGATGATATATTTGGAGTAAAAACATATTCAAACTAATTAATTTATCATAATTTTGCTTCAAATCCTTCCCAAAACATTAAAATTGCCAAGGAATATCCCTGCTATAATAAAATCGACCAAAAAAGGTCATGTTTGTGTCACGTGACTTACCTCTCTTGGTACCTATAGAAACTGGGGCGAAGTCGGAGGAGAATTCATTGTATACACAAGACGATGTTGTCTTTAATCGCTGACTATTTATTACAAATATCAAATCCTAATTAAATTCTCGGATTATCCACTGCCCGCGTCTTTATCCGTGATTTTTATCTCAGAAAGTGTTGTATGTCTAACTCTTCAAAACATTTATTAACATGTACATCAAGCGCTCAATCTCCGCGTGCAACCCTGACGTCACACGTGCAGATATTCCTAATCGTCGGGCTGTCGATTAGGGGATCCCTGACATTTTTGTCCGGTATACGCCCCATGAGGGTTTTTCAGGCAATCCAGTATTTTTCTAATAAGATTGGATATTTGTACTTTCAAATCAGATTAAAACACAGATCCTATTTCGTTTTTATAGTTCAAAATTTCGATTGACTTGTCTTTACTACACTAGAATCTGGAAGAGTTGTTATCAATGAACAGTTCTGAATGGTGTGAGAGATTAGCCAATGAAACCGTCTGTTACGGCAAGCTTTAGGCGTGTTTTGCACCAAACTGTGGGTAATCCACTAGTAACATCAATGCTGAGTGGTTAATCAAATGTCTGACGTCATAGGCTCAAAAGCCGCTCATATGACCTCTGACGCGACCTATCGCTACAACCGGTTAGATCTTCATGTAGTGTAGGCCATCAAAAGTATTAAAAAACAAAACGAAATATAGATCTGTATTTTAATCAGCTTGTCTAATTTCCATATATTCAAAAATTACCATACTTTTATTGGAAATAACCACCCGATAAACACTTTTCTGGTAACGTATCTTTAAGTCTGAGAATGCTTTGTGAACTTGGGGCCTGTTCAAATAACTTTGGTAAACTATTCAAAATTCGAATATTTGTGCAAGAACTATGTGCCTCAATAAAAAAAAGAAACTATTCTTACCAGACCACTATCAAAATTCTTCTCATAAAGAAAATCATCGTCATCATCGTCATCTTTTATAAAAGACAGATCAGACTCTTTATCAAAGGGAGATAATGCAACACGATTGGAGAATGCTGGGTTGATAACTCCCGGTCCAGGACCCTGATACACTTGTTGATTAGGTATTTCCTACAATTAACAAATACAAAAATTAAACCTTAAAATAACTAAATCGCTTTGATTTCTTTCAAAACAAATTTGGAAGACAACATAATTTACATATATATAGATATCTCCAATGTTACGATTTAATTTTGTATCGACCAATAATTAAAAATAACAAGCCTTCAAACTATATCCAAAACATGAAGAAATGTTTTCTTGATCCCTCCACCAACAGATTAATACTGTGAAAACCTGATAGTCAATTTCAAATAGTGACGATCCTATTACTCCTTTGAGAAATTATTCCTCTGACAAAAGTGTTCGCAGTCCCTCTGATGTACTCTCTCCCCCACCCCTCCCCCCAAAGAGATCCATCTTCTGTGTACTGTTCAGGTTGCCCATAAATAAAAGGAGAAAGCGGATATGTCCGCACAAAACAATCAAATTAACCCTATTTAGTCAGCGCAGGAGGACTGCACTATGTATGCAAAACAAAACCAACAAGACAAACCTGTGGACAAAACAAACTACACAGCCATTGCAACAAATAAACAACAAATATCAATTCAAATGAATGGATCCGGAGGCCAGACAAATAAACCTGTCCAAACCAGTCTCAAAATTACTAATTGACGAGACATTAAACTCCAGTCCAACCAGAGAGAGAAATGAGGCTTAACGACCACTTGACACAAACTAGGTCATTTTGGGACTAACATATGGTTTAATTTTATTTCAATAATTTGCTTCCGTATAGGGTCTTTAGCAGTGGGAGGAAATCAGAGGACCCGGTGAAAACCCACGAGGTTAGACAGGCAACCCTACTCCTTGTCACGTACAACTGGAGAATGGAAACTACGCCAGTTGACTCAATGACAGGCCTTATTGTACAGCATGCGCTAACCATTCTGCCATCTACCCCCCTCAGTCCAAACCAACCACCACGTGTATAATTTGAACAAATCAAGGTAAACATTTTCAATTCCAACTACAAACTTACCGTTTCATGGACAAAAGGGTAGCCACTATTGGGATCAACGACGTAGGCCAACGAAGAAGGTGGTTTTGGTTGTCTCGAATGCAATGGACGTCTCTCACGAACATACGGCAAATCACTTCCACAACATCGTACACAGAGTATAATTATAATAAATAATATTAGCAATCCTAGAATGCACAGGATAACGATAAACCACACTTCTTGATAAAATGGAACGACAGTTGACGTCTGCTTGTCTGGAGTTGGAGTAGTAGTTGCCGTCGTTCCTGAAAATAGACAAGAAATAATTTTCAAACCATCAATATTCTAATGACAGTCATTGGTGACACACAGAACTCAAACGTCAGTTGAGCTTTAATTTTTACTAATGGTGATTTTTATAAACATCAGTTAGTTATTAGTGGTGAATACTGTAAACACCAGGTAGTTATTAGTGGTGAATACTGTAAACACCAGTTAGTTACTAGTGGTGAATACGGTAAACAGCAGAAAGTTACTAGTGGTGAATACTGTAAACACCAGATAGTTATTAGTGGTGACTACTGTAAACACCAGTTAGATATAGTGGTGAATACTGTTAACACTAGCTTACTAATTGTAAATTATACACTGTTACAGTTCAAATCATGAAAAAGGTAGAGTTTGGTATTAGGGGTTTCATTACAGTCATATTTGTCAGTGTTGACTGACTGGCAGTGAAAATGACCAGTTGAAGAACTCATCAGTTTACAAGCCATTAATTTAGAATGTCAAAGATTTGAACCTTAATACGCAATAAATATAGTTACATTTATAGTTTTCAAGTGAATCTACAAGAAATACAGTTAAATCTAAAGTTATCTTGCTAACCCAAGGTAAAGAAACTATGCCAAAAATTGACCTGCTGCCAAAATTTTGAAACCATAGTCCTGATTGTATCAATGTTAGACATGCTATATTATAATATTACCTATATTTCAGATTATATTGATAATGTTCTATGAAGATTATGATATTATTACCTATATTTCCTACAGCTTCAGGATCAAAAACAATAGTTGGTGTTTCAGCTTCACCAGATTCTGTTTTTGCTCGTACTATAAAATTTATCTCTACAATATAAGGTAACATAATTACATTAATATATCAAACTTAACCCTTGGTTTATACACTAGGTTCCTGTGACGGTTGGATGTAAGCATGGAAGAGAGCCTACCACTTATACTACGAGACCTAAACTATCAATCCCTAAACCTTTTGCTGGGTAGGGTTCTTTAGCAGTGGGAGGAAACTGAAGGACCCAGAGAAAACCCACGAGGTTAGACAGGCGTCCCTACTCCTTGCCACGTACAACCGGTGAATCAAAACCAAGCCAGTTGACTCAATAACTGACCTCATGATACAGCGCACACACAGTCACGCACTAAACATTCGGCTATCCAACACCCATAGGCTAATGAAGACAGGCATACACCATGCAGTGTGGTATTTGGGAAGTTTCCTTCTACACTTTGTCAAATTACAACATTTATATCGATGGCAACATGTACATGGGACCTCAGTTTTCTGTTCTATCCATATGATTAGACACTTTTCTTTGCCAGACTCTCCTTCCTGCATTACTGACAAGTGGGAATCATGCTAATACCCGGATAGCCTACTAACTTTTTTGTTTCATACATAGACACTCTTTCCTAGCTGGACTCTCCAGCCTGCACAACTGACACGGTGGGAATCATGCTAATACGTAGATAACCTACTAACTGAGCCACTGTGACAGACTATAATGATATGACAATCTGATTAAAACACAGATCCTATTCCATTTCGTTTTTTTTATAGTTCAAAATTTCATTTGTCTGTACTACACTAGGATCTGGAAGAGTAGTTATATAACTGGCATTCTTGATTGAGTGAGGGATTAGCCAATAAAACCATCTGTTACGGCGACTTCTTGGCTTGCCATGCACTGAACTGTGGGTAAACCATTAGAAACGTCAACATTAATTGATTAATCAATGTCTGACGTGATGGGGTCAAAAGCCACTCGAACGAGCCCGGATGCAACCTTCCAGTACAACTGGTCCGATCTTCATGTAGTGTAGGCCATTGAAAGTATAAAAAAAACCCGAAATGAAATGAAATATAGATCTGTATTTTAAACAGAATGATGATATGATTGTTGTGAATTAATGATAAACATACTGTTAGTCCTGGTTGTTCTTTCTTGTCGGCCAACTGTATTCATGCCTTGATATCGTATAGAACCATCAACCAGTAAAACATACTCGACCAATTTACCATTTAGTTTAAATGAATTGGTCCAATCAATCTGAGCTTCTGTTGAAACCTTGGCCAGTATTGGCATGTTTACATATTCTGGTGCTAATTAATAAAATAAAAACATTAATTAAAGTCTCTGATTGTCATTTGAGGGATTGAGGAATCTGTTGCAAACTATAATATTGTGATGTTTGAATATCTACAAGGAATATCACTCTAAAAATGTTTCAACTTTGTTCAATATTTATAAAGATATGAAGATATTTATAAATATATGTGGTTTAACGTCCACATGACACAACCCGGTCATTTTGGGACTAACATATGGTTCAGTTTTATTTTAATAATTCGCTTGCGCATAGGGTCTTTAGCAGTAGGAGGAAACCAGAGGTTGAACAGGTGACCCTACTCCTTGTCAAGTACAACCAGGGAATTGAAACCATGCCAGTTGACTCAATGATAGACCTTATAATACAACGCGCAAGCACTAACCATTTTAAATTTGGCACACAAATCGTGTGCCAGAATGCTTTCGATCGCCATTTGTAATGAAGCAACTCGATGAATTGGGGCTAAAAATACAATAAAAGGAGAATACTACCGGTGTAGATTGGAATAACCAGATGTCAAAGACTGTCATTCTGTTTGGATTCTTTGCATATTTCGCTGAACATAACAACTGATTAGCAATTACAGTAAAAACAGAAAATATTGAATGTAAATCAGTTTATAAACATTCATATTACATTATTATATGCATTGCGACCCATTTGTGTCCATTTCTAGGTGCCAAAGAATAGCGATTTAGCTCCTTTAAATATGGCCTCCTCTGGAGCTTCATTCCATTGGCCCCCAGAGCAATGTAGCTAGCGGTTGCATCCCCTCTTCATGGGCCTGTTTACATTACCAAGGGCTAAAGTGTTAAAGAATGTCCTACTTTTCTAACTGAGCCACCGTGGCTCACCTGAATATAATGATAAAACTTGAGCTCACCTGCTGGTTTTGTTTCAACTCTGATCCATGTAGGAAAGTCATTACTACCTGCTTGATTTTCAGCCATTATTTGATATTCATACGCAGTGTAAGGTTGTAAAGAGGCTACAGTCATGGTAAACGATTTTCCTTCATAAACCTTTTTACTGTCCCCGATAGAACAATTCTGTGAAAAGATCTGCGATGTTTTTGGACAAGCTGTTCTTTCATACAGCATATATCTAAATATGGTAAAATGAAAAGAAAAAAATGAAATGTAATGGGGTTTAATGTCCTATTGTTCTGCTCCGACTGGGCTTATGAAGACGGGCATACGCCATACAGTGTGCTATGAGGGAAATTTTGCCCAAGCAGCGGCACTATGGCCTACTCTTATATCAAATTACAACTGCAAAAGGATCTTTTAAGTGCAAGCCCTTGTATACATGGGTCCTTGGTTTTTCATCCCATCTGAAGGACTAGACAGCTGTCCTTGTCAGGCCCTCCTTCCTGCACCACTGACAAGGAAAAATTCGTCGGAAAGTCCAATGAACTTTCTCAGTCAAATGAACTATTTATAATCTATATGTATCTCATGATGTTTAACTGAGACCACAACTTACCATTTAACATTACTAATTAACACAGCAACTGTTTTTTGGGGGATAAATGAAATGAAATGGGGTTAAACTTTAGCAGTGTGAGAAAACCCACAAGGTTGACCAGGCTACCCTACTCCTTGTCACGTACAAGCAGCGGGGAATCAATGACAGACCTTTATAAGGATTTAACTTTTCATGCCAGCTGTAAACCATTCGGAAAACCCATCGACCCTACCATGCTTGGGAGGGGGATTATAAATTTAATTAAAATATACCTGAGTATTTCGCCGTTGGGTTGTTGTGGTTGCTGCCAGGTGAGTTGTACGCTGGTACTGTTTATTACAGCAGCCGATACTTCCGCCAGACCATTCGGTTTAGCCGAACCAGTTTTAGCCATTATACCAGAACTGTCTGTACACCCACCACTGGTACAAGCTTGGACTTTAAGAACATACGACGTGAATGGTAATAGTTGACGTGTTGTACCCACCGTGTGTCTCAAGGCTGGTGATGACGAATACTGAAAAATAACATCAAATAATTATTATATAAATGAAAAGGAAATGAAATGGGTTTTAACGTCCTATGCCTGACCAGGCTAATGCAGACGCATATATGCCATATATAGTGTGCTATATAAGGGATTTTTTACATGCACGCCAATGTGTAAACGGGACCTCAGTTTATCGACTCATCCAAACAACTATACGTTGTCCATTGCCAGGTCCTCTGTTCTGCACCACTGACAAGGAGGTACCATGCCGGAAAATCTGGAATTATTATATAAAGCACATTTCAAGAAGAATGGGATTATGACGTCTTACTTATAAGCACTAACATCAGGTAACGATCGCAATATAAATTAGTGCTGGGTATTGCAACAACAGCCAAAATACGATTTGTATCTTGATTCATAACCAGGTCAATATTTACCAAGAAAACAACAGGATAAATGAATCCTTGATATTTTTATTCATGCGGATGTCGAAGAAATAAAACTGTTTTATATCATGATATTGATTTAATATAAGACTATTTGTGTACCTATGGATAATATGTTATGTGGATAATTAAGCAACAAAAAAAACATAAAAAAGAATCGTGATAAATCGATACAGCGTCTCACAATTCAATATGCGAATCGCGTCAAGGTTAATCATGATACATCGATTCAACGATACATCGTGGCAGCACAAATATATATTAATATCAGTGTATTCCAGTCTCGGAGCTTGGCAGAGAAATTTGCAATAACTACATATTTTTTTCAAATTCTGTCATTTCATTTAATAACGTTTCGTAACGCAACAATAAAAAGTCAATCTTACCAGTGTATCATTGGCTAATATATTATACATTCTGATAACACCGTTTGGTTGTGATGGTGGTGTCACTTCCACGTCTATAGTAAACGCTGTAGATCCCTGTAAAATAGCAACTCAAGTCTGTATTTTATGGAATTTTGTATGTATGAGATCATAATAAACAAATATAAAAGTAGGGGAGAGAGAGATATAAATGAGGTTTGACAGCCACTCGACTAAAACAAGGTTATTTTTCGGGACTAACATATTGCTTGCATGTAGACATCTTTAGCAGTTGGAAGAAACTGGAGTACCTGGAGAAAATCCACGAGGTTGGACAGGCCAGGCTTTCATGTACATGCTGGGTATCAAAACCCATGCCACTTGACTCAATGACAGACCTTTCGATCTAATGTGCATATCTAAGAACATTCGGCCACCCAAGCCCTCTTTGTAAAATTGGATAGAGAATCGAAGAAATGGGGTTTCAAATCTGTTTAACCTAAAAATGTAACTCTGATATATTTTAATTTCATTAAATCTCTGGAACTCAATCTATCCAACAGTGGGACAAAACACGTACATACAAGATCAATATGATCATCCTTGTATCCCCAGTGGTATCATTCCTCTAACCCCTGGGTCCATTCAAATTACTTGCCCTTGATAATTATGCTATTATTATCGACCAATCAAAACATCCCATCAAACCGAGTTAAATGATGAATGGAAAAACTATAGATGCCTGGATCTCCACCAACCCACATGCCACCTTAATATCCCAACGTGGAATAATAACTATTTGTTACTTACAATGACATTTGGAGGAAGTACAGAGCTAGGTGGTGCTTCTTTAGTCTTCACTAACTGCCAATCACTGATGGCTCTACCCATCTGGTTGTACGCAATAATCTGGTACTGATATTCTGTAAAGGGCAGTAACTCGGGTGTGTTATCTGTATACCGTAATTGGGTACCATTAAAGACCAATACTGGTTCTCCATATGACATACCTAGAGGAATAAATTTATTTTTAAAAAAATATAAAAATATTAAAAAAAATATGAAAATAAAATATAAAAAAAAATATCCCAAAAAATAATAATAAATATATATAATAAAATACAATGTTATAAGGAACCGCCTAAAATGTTCTAAAGAGAGAAATGTAATTTTACATCCACTTGACATTTTTAGGATTACATTTAGCATAAGGATCTTTAATTAGAAGTGGGAGGAAACTGGAACACCCAGAGAAAACGTCACAAGGAAAGTCATGCAATCCAAGCCCTTGTCACGTTACAAAACCCAAGACGGAACCTGAGATCAAATCCATAACCAACATAATACATGCATTAGACCTCTTGGCCACCGAAGCGACCTTATACAAATCAATTTTAATTGTATTTTTCTAGCGCCATCTCCCTGTTTACATTTTACCAGTAGCTTCTGAATTCCAAGTAAAATATAGCAGTAATTAGCATGCATGCAACCCAACCACTTGTGACATTACCAAACCCAAGACGGAACCCAAGATCAAACCCATAACCAACAAAATACATGCATTTGACCACTTGGCCACCCAAGCGACCTTATACAAATCAATTTTAATTGTATTTTTCTAGCGCCATCTCCCTGGTTACATTTTACCAGTAGCTTCTGAATTCCAAGTAAAATATAGCAGTAATTAGCATGCAACCCAACCCCTTGTGACATTACCAAACCCAAGACGGAACCCAAGATCAAACCCATAACCAACAAAATACATGCATTTGACCACTTGGCCACCCAAGCGACCTTATACAAATCAATTTTAATTGTATTTTTCTAGCGCCATCTCCCTGGTTACATTTTACCAGTAGCTTCTGAATTCCAAGTAAAATATATCAGTAATTAGCATGCTTATTCTTTCTAGAAGATCTGACACCACTTCCGAATTTTTAAAATTACTTGATTGAGGATTTACTTACCTGAGGTATCCCTGACAACCAATCGTCTATTAACATCATATTTAGTAATGGCACCATTTGGTCTTAGAGGGGGGTCCCAGGTAATCATTACACCAGTGTGAGCTCCATTTGCGTCTGCCATAGCCAACAGACTTGGTTTATTCTGTTCCTCGGGTCTAGCTTCTAGTGTTCTAACCGAAGCCGAACTGCTTAATTCACACCCTCGTAAAGTACAAGCCTGAATACGGAACGAGACTACAGTCCAAAACGCGAGG